CCTTATTTTCAATAAGCAATCCTGAAAAATATTTGGGGGTGCTTAACTTTTTTCCAGGTGTATAGTTCTAAAACATTTGGGAATATAAATGAACCGGATACTTTGCGAAATATCAGTAGCAAGGATTAGATTATAAATACGGGTTAAAGAATATAGAGAGTTGTCGTCTAGTGAATCAATCAGAGTGTTTACGTTTTTGGATCTGTATTATCTATCCTATATATTGAGTTACTAAATATTGAGATTGACTTATTTTCATCATATAATATACAAGAATCCGCCAACAAAAGAACAACAATGTTATAAAACAATAGCTTTTTATTATTTTTTACGGTTTAAACACCAAAAGCTGGCGAAACATGAAAAACCAATAGGCCTAACTTTGATGATAAAATCAGATAAACTGTAACTGTTTCTTTTTATCCTCTGAATTTGTTTAAAATGTTTCTTTAGTTTTAAGCATGTAAACACGTGGATTTGTATCACAATATGCTATTTCTTTTACAAGTTATCAACATTTTCTACTGTTATAGTTATTTTTATTTAAATTCATGGGATTTCTTTAACTACTTCCTTCGGAAAGATGATCAAGAATGTTATTTCTTAACTATGATCATAAGAAGAAAGCTTGTTTTGGGGGTTGTTTGCAGTTGATGGTCGGATGTAGAAGTTTCTGTTGTGGGTTTTACATCACACTTTTTAGCTGGAGTTCGAATGTTTTTTGTTCTGCAGTTAGGCTTAGGTTTTGGTTGATCTGTATTTGAGGGAGGTATGATGTTCTGGAGTGGAATGAAGGATGTGGTTTTCAAAAGTTCGGTAAGTATTCGAAAAAACAGCCACGTTGAATTATTTGATCTGATGAGTTTGCCACTACTTCGTCAGTAAAAGTAATTCTTCCAGTTCTGGGGACATCGAGAATGTGAGTTGATATATCATTTTCTAGGGCTAATTTAATTTCGTGGGAAGTGATATATAGGCAGATGTTTTGCAGAAAGAAATAATATGAACTTGTACTAATTACAGGTGAATGACAGTTTATTTGAGCTTGTGAATTACACGCAGAACACGCGTAAATGAGATTTTCAGATGTTAGTGGTCGAACAAAGATACAGTCACTTCCTAGTGGTCGGGATTTGTCTATTTGGGTTTGGCATAAGGTTTGAAGGTTTTTATATAGACTTAGAAGGTGAGCTTATGTGTGTATAAAGAACAATCATCCCTTCCACACTTCCATTCCAGATGTCACATGTTCTAGTAATAGTAAGAAATCAACACTTTTTGAAATAAGGACGCCATTAAATATAAAACTGGCTGTTGCATCTGTAATGAAGGTAGTACCTACTAGTGATGTGTTAAGGACAAAAGTCCATAAAGTGATGTTAACAGTGACTGCAACTGGTAGAACCTCAAATACAAAGAGCAAAAATGGTAGGAAAACCAAAACGATTATCATATGTTCAGGACTACTGAACATTGAGCTGCTATGTCAAACGAAACAGAAAAACAGAGTTAACACATCATGAACCATGAACATTAAGACGCCAGCACAATCAACTGGAACATTATGTCAGAGTGGCTGGTTAAATGACCATAGCATGCGAACTAAGGAACAACAATGAAAGGTGATCTAGTTTCTTTAAGGATCATTATTTTTCCATCAAGATCAATGTGAAGACAGTCTAAAGAAGATGCATCCTGAGTGGTTAGTTCTAATTGTAAGGGTGAAGACAGTCTAAAGAAGCTGTATCCTGAGTGGTTGGTTCTAATTGTAAGGGTGAAGCCAGTCTAAAGAAGCTGCATCCTGAGTGGTTGGTTCCAATTGTAAGGGTTGAAACAGCCTAAAGAAGCTGCATCCTGAGTGGTTGGTTCCAATTGGAAGGGTGGAAACAACCTAAGGAAGCTGCATCCTGAGTGGTTGGTCCCAAGTGGAAGGGTGGAAACAACCTAAGGAAGCTGCATCCTGAGTGGTTGGTTCCAAGTGGAAGGTTGCATAGAGGCCAAGTTTTTAATGATGTGAACTTGCTCAAGCCATTGTTACAAAAGGTAGGATGAAAGATAATTAGTACAGGGACATTATAGAAGACCGTTCACACTATAATACATTGCTTTTATTCCCATGTTACTTTAGCCCTTAAGTGATTAGGAGCATACATGTAAAATCAGGCTTAATATTTCACTAATTAATTCATACATTACAATAAATTGTAAACTAACATTTCAGATACTTGTCTTGAGAATTTCAAAAGTGTCTTCTATCGTCATGCCCCCCCCCCCCAGTAGCATAGCGGTAAGTCAGCGGACTTACAACTCTAGAATCCGGGTTTCGATACCTGTGGTGGGCAGAGCACAGATATCCCATTGCGTAGCTTTTTGCTTAACTTCAAACAAACAAAGCTATCGTCATAGGTGTCTAATACGAGGAGTACTGTGGTAAGTCGTTAATATTGAGTAGATTTTTTTTTAATTCGTTATATGTGATTTTTTTTCACATATTTTATGGGGTCCGAGAAACTTATTGCTATATTAAATCAGTAAATATGAATAGAAGGAAGATAGAATTAGTACGTATACTGCCTCGAATGTCACACGGATTCCCTTTCCATAAAATGATAGACGTTTATTTTCAGTTTAGGTCAATCGCTTATCTTTCCAATAAATATTAAACAACATTATACACGATGTCCTAGAAATCTGGACCTATAGGGAAAAAATAGACGTTATGTTCTTAACGTTCACCAAACAAATATATAATGTCAGTTGTACATATTTCAGGAAAGAAAATACCCTGATGGCACAGTATACCAAGAATTGATATATGCATGGCTGTTAATGGTTTGTAATTTGAATATTAAATAAGTTTTTTCTTTGCATTTTCATTCCTTTGGGTCCCCACTTCTGGGACACCATGTACATTTCTACAAATTGTCTGTATAAGATATTTGTGATCGTATTTTGAGTTTCTTCTATTCTTTGCTATTGCTCCATCTCACTGTTAGTCTATTCCTCCATCTTCTTATTATTATATTGCTCCATCTCCATGTTATTCTATTATTCCATCTCACTGTTACTCTATTGCTCCATCTCCATGCTACTCTATTATTCCATCTCACTGTTACTCTATTGCTCCATCTCCATGTTACTCTATTATTCCATCTCATGTTACTCTATTGCTCCATCTCCATGTTACTCTATTATTCCATCTCACTGTTATTCTATTGCTCCATCTCACTGTTACTCTATTGCTCCATCTCCATGTTACTCTATTATTCCATCTCACTGTTACTCTATTGCTCCATCTCCATGTTACTCTATTATTCCATCTCACTGTTACTCTATTGCTCCATCTCCATGCTACTCTATTATTCCATCTCACTGTTACTCTATTGCTCCATCTCCATGCTACTCTATTATTCCATCTCCCTGTTACTCCATTGCTCCATCTCCATGTTACTCTATTATTCCATCTCACTATTATTCTATTGCTCCATCTCCCTGTCATTCTATTGCTCCATTTCCTTATTAATATGCTAAACTATAACTAAACTAATTGAAACATATACGTATTGACTATCTGTAGTGTCACCACATTTTCTTTTAGTACCTCCAACTCAAGAAAGAACACAAGGACTTTAATAAAACCAAACGTAATGTTATTCTTTACACGAAAATCATCTTAAACTTTGTACGGTCGAAAATGTTGAACTATTTCTATTGATATTCGATTTTTGTGACCGCAAAAATCCTTCACCATTTTGGCAGTAAAAAAATCAAAGGCACTTTTCTTTGTAAGTTTGCTTTACGCACAAGCATAGGTATTGCATAATAGAGTGA